AAATACAAATGTTACCTCTCACCGTTGAACGGAATCTCGATTTACGTCTGGAGAAAGGAATAATTCGTTTCCCAGGTATCACTCCAATCTTTCGTATCACGCGCGGCGCAGACGATTGCATATAAATAAGCTCGCATGAGAAAAGACGCGGCGTGAAAATATATTAAGAGATATCATTGAAATGAGATATGAATTTCGGATATATCGCCGTATTATTCGATTTGGCGGCACTGCAAATGAACGAAGGGAGCAACGAGCCACAGAATGAGTGATGGAAGCAACGAACGAGATTGGAATGAGTGGGAATCGTGTGTTATTTTATTTTTAACTGACTTCAAAAATGGAGGAGGTTTCTCAATTCGACCGTATCGTATATATATATATATATATATATATATATTTTTATGTGTGTTCGTGGATAACTTCGTCGTTTTTGAACCGATTTTGATTTTTTTTTTGTCGGAAAGAAGATATCAAAAGAGTGGTACCATGATAAGGAAATCCGGATATGATGATGGCATCCCAGAGAAATCGAGGGCAATCATTGAATGTTATAGGTATTAACAATGTTTTTAATTTTCTGATTGAAGTCAGTTTTTTTTTGTTAAAAATTATACTTGTCGTCTATCGAATAGAACCCCATACGGTATGTATTCTGTAAAGTAAAAATATGTATGTTTACTTGATACTAGACTGTCGTAGACTGGTTATCATTTGATTATGCAATATAAAACAGGCTGGAATGATAATGGTGATGATGATACAATATAAAGTATATTAAAACTATGAAAACAAATAAAACTAAAGGTGTTCGTCATTTTCTCGTAAATTCGTTGAGACGTAACAAAATGTTTACGTCGATGCGTGCTACGGTTGGGCGACATTTGAAGGATGTGATTATGCAATAAATAATAATTGTCCTATTTCTTAATTCTCGCTGAGGAACCTTTTATTAAAAAATTTATATTATATATTGAAACTAAGCTTATATTTTTCCTCATAGCCCATTGGGCATAACATTATTTAATTTTTGAAGTTTTTTTAGAGTGCGTAAGAGAAAAATTATAAATATAAAATAAACGAAAAAAAATGATCTCTTTCAACTTTTTGACATCTTATCGTTATATAAATTATCGATGCTAAGAAAGTATAATTTATTACGTGCGCACATATGTAGGTTTAAATAAACACTTTTTAAATTTTTTTTAATTACAAGCTTTGATTTAAGTTTCAAGAAACTTTATTTTTCTCGCTCTTCCACTCTCGTGACAACAATCCTAATAGAACAAATATATTCATATAACACTTAGATAGTGTCGTAGGATTTATACAACAGAAAGGGACATTTTCAAGTAAACAGTAAATTCGCACGTTGCATAATGTCATTCACATCCAATCCGCCACATTTACGTGTTACCTCAAATATGGCAAACTTTATCCCTTTCCCCGGGGACCGTGTCATTTTATATCTTTCCCTGTACTCTGCTAAGCGGCGGAAAAGCGCAAATAGCCATTTATCTTATTTTGCCGTTAAAACAAACATTATTACAGTTCTGTTTGCTAATATAACGTGTACAAAATATTTTAGAAAACGATACATTTATGAATGTACAAAGAAAAATCAAGTTGCTTTAAATTTTGGCAAAGCATTTGTTTCACTGTGGTAAGGCCACGCAACAGTCTAAGGCCCGGTTCCTATATTCAACGAACGGCCGTTAGTTACATAACTTCGTAGCTTTCATAACGACTCGTAACGACTTCATAATGACTATGTAACAAACGGCCGTTCGTTGAATATAGGAACCGGGCATAAGTTGTTGCACCAATGGGAATTTCCGTCCGGGTTACTTGCATAAAAGTTGCAGAAGCGTTGAGTTGCAACGCTTCTGCAACTCTACGGGTGTTGCAAATGTCAATGGGTGGCGGTTATTATTTAACGGAACCACCAACTCGTTTGCAACCTTCTCACATAAAAAGTATTCGTGAGAAAAATATGTGAGGTGTTTACCCCAACAACATTTGGTGCTCTGGTGAAACTTTTTATAAGGGACTGTCTAGTGCTTGACAAACTTAGTGATTAGATTCTCTTAGGTGCTTGACTGCCCACATGTATTTCTGTTACCGCTATAAATGAAAACTTAAAAATGATATAATAACTTTGATTAGTTTTGTTTGACTTCAGAATCACATTATTTTTTATGCGCGTTTTATTATATCGGAAATTCATGTGCCTTGTTTTATCTACTAGAGGATTATTCATTGTGAAACTTGTTCCTAAGGTAACGTGTAAATTCGGAATAAATGTTTGACAGGTCTGTAACTGACAGGTGTTATTCATTCACGTTATATTTTTGTTTCTTTTTTTATTCCAATAATGTTTCACGCCAGACTAATGTTTTATATTCAGATTTTTGAGAATGTTTTATAACTTGGGATATCAGATTTACCACGGTTTTTGTGCACATGAATAACGAAGGGAATTTTTTATCCAATTGTATTATTTCTAATTTTCATTGCTTTATTTTAAGCTTCAGATGGTATGAGTTCAAGAGAAAAATCGTTAGAAAACGTAAGGGTGAGTCGTGCCTTCGATGTTTTCGTGTTTTAGTAAGTTGCCGCTTGTATTTTGTATGTATATTAAAACTTTTTTCTTATTATGTTACTAAAACAACATTTGTAAGAAGTCTGAAAATTGATTACGCAGTTTCCAAACTTCTTCCAAGTTTCGCCAAAACGGTACTGTGTCTATTCCTCTCACGTACTTGCGTATACGTTTTCAATTTGTCCATCATCTTGTATATTTTAATAACAACGCATTTATGGGGAACACTGATTTATACATTTGATTAATCTTAAATAAAAATAGAACAAGATTTATTTCATGTCGTGTCGTAAATAGTGGAACCTTGTTTACATTAGGTTAGTTTGGTAACACCGACACATCACTGTTTGGCTGGACCGGGTATCCAAAGACCTGGGGAGAGATCTGAGAAGGCCAGTCGCGCCGGGGTTCGTGAAAGATTGCATTCTCGTGTTCCTGTGTGCCCAGTGCTGACAAAGATCTATTTCAATGGGGAAAGTGGCATACGAGCTGGTGGTTCACAGGATGTTAGGCGATAACTGCTGCCCATGGACATTTGCAACCTATAATTAAAGTGGGCACCGGCTACCTCACTCACCAGACGAAACGCAGAAGAACCCGGACGGACCTGCCCATTAGTGAAACAGTGAACACTGTTGCGTGGTCCTACCACAGTAAACATCATAAGACAATCATCATGTTGTCTTAAGCGCGTCTGAATAAATACTTTTGTACGTTATCTGGGTTACTTCTCACTTATCAATAACTAGCTTTTTACTCGCAGCTTCGCTCGCGTTGAAGCCCTTAAATATATATCTTTCTTTAACCTTTCAACCCTTTACAACACTTTTTTCCAATTAAAAAATAGCCTATGTCCTTTATCAGGACTATCTGTGTACCAAATTTTATTTAAATCGGTTCAGTAGTTTCGGCGTGCAAACGAGACAGACAGAATTACTTTCGCATTTATAATATTACGTATGGATTTAAAGAGGCATCACGACCGTGTCGCATAATCTAAAATGGCAAAAATGAGCCTAATCCTTGTTCGAAACCAAGTTTTACCTGGTGTTTTACGACAAAACAAGGTTAGTACCTAAGAATAAACAAGTTACATTTTTTAGTTAAATTTAAAGTCGCTTTTCCGATTCTGCCAAACAAGCGAAGCGACGCGACCGATAAATGGGCAAACAGAACAAGAACCCCGCTGAGAAGAAAACAAATTAAAGGTTCTTCGGCTCTGTCTTCACTTTAAATACTCTTAGACGGTTAATTATCGAAGTTCGTAAAAGTTTTCCCCCGAGTCGGTTTCTAATAACGTTATTTGAACTATGATTGATCCTTTATTTTTGAAGGGAAAGTTGTTCTTGTTAAGTTATAGCTTTACGTCATTTGGAAAACTTCGTCCGCATATAAATAAAGTTCACATAATTATACTAATACACATTAATAGTTGAGAAAATTTCGCACAGTATCGTGATCAAAAGAGACACCTAGGTGTCTACGTATCTAGGTAGGTGTTAAATATGAGGCAATTAATGGTATCTTATGTTGAAAAAAATAAATTTTTATTTAGCCTACTCTCTATCTTTCATTTAAATACACTAGTAGACCATACCAAATTAGACCATAATTAATTAAACAAACCCAATTTTATTCCAGACTATACAGAATTTTTGCCTAAATTCAAAAGAGTTTGCTATGATCTTTGGAAGGAATATTTTGATAAACGGTCTTTAGATAAAGGTATATAGTATAAAACAATTCAATGCCAGCCCTGTCGGGTACCGTGGTTCATAAATACTAATTTGTGTAGGAAACTAGTATGTACAGCATTAGACTCAGATGTGGACACATTCTATGTAACAAATTTGCCTTCCTTATGAAGAAAACTAATTCACCAAATTGTGAGGAATGTGGAGTGACTGAAGACCTTCATCACCTTTTGATGGAATGTGTTAGAAATGAGTCCAATAGGAATAACTTGTTAAGAGACATGAACTTAAGCAAATACAATGTTGGCCTTTTCATTCTTTGTTATGCCACCCGAACAGTGAAAATGCAAATCTACTGTATGAGTTTATGGCTAAAACTTTAAAATAAGGATCATTAATAAGTCAAAGTTGTATAACATAAGAAGACGGCACGATGAGGCTGACATGCATATTACGCAAAAATCCCTTAAGTTTATTCTTATACGTATTTATGCTATTACTCTTTAATATAATTTGCTAATTATTTGTACATCTGTGGTCCTTCAAATAATATTGATTTATTTACATATTCGTTTGCACATTGTCATTGTCAAATTAATGATGGAGACAGAAATAAAAGGAAACACAACGGATTTATTGAGCCACAAATATAACAGGAACAAGTGCTGTGGAAGTAATATGTTAACTTCACAGAATAGCGATTATGTCTTCAAACTTTCAGCCATTTTGAGTAATATACTTCGCAGAAGATTCGCGAGTAAATGGTAATTTTGTCCCATAAGCGGTTCCCTGAGTTGGGGCACGCAAATCTGTAATAATGAATATGGAATAAATCAACAATTTGGGGGAACCCGACGATTTGAAAGTCTTTGGGAGAGGCCTATCATTCAGCAGTGGACTGTAACTGAGTGAAATGATGATAATGATGATGAACAATATTGGGTAAAACGTTTTCTTTAATTGACCGCAATGAACATTTAAATATGTTTGTAAAATGTATTGACCAATGTACATAAAGTAAAAGCATCGCCTCCTTTAGGTGCAATATGTATCTCGTCACTTTACAAATCAAATATGTGTCAAGTAGTATATGTTTAAGATATATTTATATTTGGAGACATCTTTCCTAGGATATTTATAACTGCTATCTTCGAAATCATTGATACTAAATAGTTATCCTTTTTAAATTTTTTTATAGTGCACTATAAATCTCTGCACTTAAGATTGAACATTAAAATTTGTAGAAAAAGTACAATCTTTTCGTACTTTTTCTACAAATTTTAATAGTTATCCTTTTGTTAAATAACTTTATCATTCATTTAAAAAAAATATGATTTCACTCATGCAATAATAATAATCATAAATAAATAAGACCCAAACAGACTGAAGCTCTCGGCAGGGGAGACCAAACGGCCGAGGTTTAGGGTGATAGGGATTGAAACAGGCGGACGATACTAAATATATCTATGAGTTTAATTTTATTCATAAACCCAACCAGATGAGAAAATAAAAATTTGAAGACGAAAATTTTTACATTTTTTTTATGTGAAAAGTTGTCAAGTGAGCAGACGGTTCACCCGATGGTAAGTGAATACCGCCGCCCATGGACACTGACCTGAGGGTTCCAGATGCGTTGACAAGCTTTTGAAAATTGTGCTTTAGTCCGAGAAAAAGTAATCTGTGTAATAGGTAACTGGTAAACATACTTAAACGTATTTCTCTTTTGTACAGCGAAACGTATTTCTCTTTTGAACAGCGAAGACTGTTGTGTCTGGCGACACAACAGTCTTCGCTGTTGCATAAATGGACCGGTGCGGTTCCGGTTAAGTGCGTGTTATAGGTACTTCCGAGTTTCGTCTGTTGTTCATTTCACCATCTATAGTATTCGCGTAGCTACAAGAAATCAAACCCATCAGACAAATTTCAAGAGTAGCTTTGACGAATTTCTCTTAAGCCGTGTTGATTTCTTGGACGAGACTGTCTATTCATGCAACAGCAAAAGCTACTGCACAACCTCACTACATTATCCTGCCGTAACCTCACTTATGAGGGTCGAGTACTATTTATGAATCATGTTGATAATGGTAGACTAGGTTTTTTTCAAACGCCTGCCTAACGTCAGTCTTCCTCCAAACTTCGTCCACCCACAACTAACAACTCCCAGATTTAGAACAATTACACGCGGGTCACACAAATAGATGTGCTGTGCATTAATTATTTCATAAACTTAAGCTAACAGCAGTTTAAAATCGAATTCCTTACAACGGCCAATAAGACGAACAGTAGCGGACAAACGAGGTTGATAAGCAGAGCCAGCAGTGACCGTAATAACCACCACAACCCGAAGACCACTAATATACTTGCAAGCATCACCTGAAACACAGCAAAGGTAATTAAATATTCTACGTCTTTCATTCTTAACATAGAAAATATTGCTAATATGAAATTATTTTTTTCTGAAGACGTTACCTAAATATATACATTTGATGGGGAAGTTTGCGGGTTAAGTAAGAATGATTGCAGACTGCAGATGACTGCAGAAGATTCGGATGATACAAAATTATTTAATAGAATTATTGTTCAGATCTGGATTTGGCTGTTGGCTGTTGGCAGATGGACGCGTGGTGCTGTCGCTCGGAGACAAACACGTCAAAACTATTTGTTTACATTACATTATTTATTTATTTAATTTGGATGGCTGATATACTGTCGTAGGGCCTCATGGATCTTTTAGTCATACATTGGGTAAAGTGAAAGTATTACCTTAGTATTTCATCTGGTAAGTACGAGATAACCTGAGCCCTCATTGGTTGACAATGCATCCGGATCCTCACGAGTGTTGAAGATGTCAATGGATCGTGGGGACTCAACATCACGCAAAAAACCTTTTTCTTATGACACGCACACGCAAAAAATCTGATACACAGAAAACGAATCGATACCAACGCGAAGGCTCGTAGATCGATGTAGATTCAATTGCTGCTGCCCTTTCTCGTGACAGCTGATGTTAAACAATGATAAAGTATGACTTGGATCGAAACGCTCATACCTGGGCCTCTTCGTGTGCCTGCAACCAAGATCTGAACATGTCCAAGACCCTCGTGGTGCCGCCATAGTATTGGTTACAAGAAGCACGGGACATTGTGAACTGCAAAGACGTTATTATAGCCCAGTTGGGCCGTGATAGCTCAGCGGCCGGTTGCTCGCTTTTAATTCAATGTACTTGAGCAACATGAGTTCAAATCGCGGTGCCGGAACCAATGAAATTGCTAATTTTAAGTGCGGAATTATCACATGCTTAGAGGTAAAGAAAAACATCGTGAGAACAATAGGATGTGTATTTCTAAGCAGAATTTTTCAAGAATCTTAGCCCTGTGAGAAATTCTGGTTCAAGTAACGGTAGGGAATGCACGTTTATATTAATGTCAGAAATTTTCTATGTAAAAGTTATATAGTAGATACATAGTGTGTCTGTGGCATCATCAAATCATACTAACAGTGTGACCCAAGAGTTTTTTCTCCCAATAACAGTCATCCATAGTGAATTTGCCTCCGGATATGGAATGAATGTAGTTATGGACACAAATTAGCGATATTAAGAAATTTCTCTTTAACAGTCGACGATCTGAAATGAAAAAGTGCGATTGAAAAAAAAAAACACTCGTAACATTATCACGAATAATCAGTGAAATTCATCTAACTACTCCAACATTTTGTAAAATATCCCAATGATATTCACACATTGTTATGATAAGTTCATAACAATTGACGTTTAATTGTTTTTAACTATTCATTAAGTGCTTATCATATTAACCACTTAAAGAAATTAACACCAAAGTAATATTCATCTCCAATGTCGCAGTCATGTGATAATCACAGTATTGTTATTGAAATCAAGTCAAGCCAAGAATTTTAGTGAGGACTTTTGAGATGATGTTATCATTGAAAACTAGTACCTATGCACCTAGGTATAACATCGGTAATAAAATCTGCAGTAAAGCAATCCTTATAAATAATAGCGTAACCTAATTTAAAAGACCAAACCTGATTTTGAATTACTGGGCAACATGGTATGATTTTGCCATCCATTTTACAAACGCTGCACTTTAAAACAACCAAACAGTATATTGTTCATTCATACTTTATATACTTCGCGATTTACATTTCACGTTTGACGTGAAGTGTACCCATTTGAGTTATATTTCTATTTCAGTCATTTGTCAATCAAATGGCTGCGATTCGTTTTGCTTTTAAATTGAACAGGGAATTTTCGAAAAGCAAAAAAAGTTTCCTCTTTAAATTTAGCGGCCCTTTTCATAAACCTCGATATCGTTTATTATAAGAGGAAAAGTGGAGTTTCAGAAGAGGAATGATTTCAAATGTTTTACACTGGTGTTTCATTTTTAACATTATCAATAAATTTGATGTTTTTTATTTAAATAACAACGGTAACTGTGGTTTTTAATAAATGAATTAAAACTCATAAGTAATCGGCATGTTTTGTAAGTAATTAATTTATACGTAAAATTTATCAACTTCTGCTGCCTCATACTGCCGCTCTTAAACAATCTGGCTTCTTACAATAATCAGCGTCAAGGAAAATTCAATAAACTATCGCACTACTGACTTTTTTAAATTTTAATGATTTCTTTAATAACAAGGTATTCGGTGTATAACATAGTATTCTACCTAGCTATTAGCTATGTTATAAAATCAAATTGATAATAACACATTCTGATCCACTAAGTCATGAAATAGCGTCTCCTTGTGAACTATGCCCTAATATCCTCTGCACAGAGGATGCCTTTGCACAGCAGTCAGTCGTGTAGGTATTGATGTACTTTTTTACATTTTCCATGACCATGAAAGAAAATAAGTGTCCTCTCATATTTGTCAAACAATCATTATCGACACTAACATTTGGTACTACTAGATTAGACATATGACATTGACGTGTTTATAAAATTAAGTTGGTTGCATGTTTGTTGTTTTTGAAATTCACCTCTAATTCAAAGTTATTTAATTGCATTTAATGTCTTTTTCACAAACAAACAGAATTAAAATTTTTAGTTCTTGTTACGCTTAATAAGTATAACTTTTTACCCGAGTGCAAAAGTACACCCACAATTTGTTTTTATTGTAAGATGGCAACAGAGAGACATTCTCTCTGTTGCGTTGATGTCAAGAATCACTACGTTGGATGGCAACCGAGCTGGCTGTCCACCTGATGTTAAGCCGCCCATGAACATTTATAACACCCTATAAGCTACAAATGCGTTGCCACCTTTAAATAAATTGGGCCCCGGTCACCTCACTCATCAGACGAAACGCGAAAGTTTAATACCTCCACTTCACGCTGGTCCTCTGTGAGGCCGTGGTACACCCTTGTGCCTGCCCATTCATGCAACAGCTAAAGCTGCTCATGACTCTATCCCAGTAGTAAGAGTAGCATAATATATAATTCATGTTTATATAGTGACTGTTTTTATGTACTTTATGTAATCTTTCATCGTAAGGAGGTTCTCCTACACTGCCTGATACCAAAGCTATCACATATATTAACATTTTAAATTATATATTAGTAAGTCACATAAAATAATTGGTAATTATAGTTCGCGTAGTTAATAAGATTATTTGAATTAATTTTCTATAGATTTTTCAAGAATATAACCACTTACATAATATAAGAACATATTATTGAATGATTGTTATTGTTTTTATTATAACCGTTACTAAACTCACTACAATAACTAAATAATTAAGATACGAGATTATAACAAATCGAAACTAACACGATTAATTACACAAGCCACCGACATAAGTATTACTTGGTATACAAAAGCAGAACTTATGAAAGTTGTGTTAAGACCGAATACTGGGCAAATAAATATGTGAGAACGGATCGTAGCTCAAAATTCAAGGCGCTTTAAACCTAGGTATCCCAGCTTAGAGCGCATATAAAATAATACCAATTAACACAAAGGGACAATAATATAGTAATAATACAGAAGTTCATTTCTATAATTTTTTATTAGGACCATGACTTGTGGCAGATATTGCAACTTTGATCGACCTTATAATATTTATTTTTATTTATTGCAGATAAAGTTCGAGGAAGAGAAGACTGTTGAAGCGCTTACCAATGCACATACAAATTTAACATCCATTTATACTTATAAAATAAAATACTTGACGAGTCTTATATGATCATTTAACTATGTAAGTGCTAAATTCACTAAGCAGTTTCCTTACATTTCTTTTATTTTAATTTACAATAAAGTTATTCTGTATACAGATAGTTATATACAAATTCATTTTTTTTATTTAGTCTTACCAAACAAACAGATACATTAACATTTGCAGTTACTAACAGAATTATACCACTATATATTATGTATTTAACAGAACTTAAAAGTGTGTATAACATTTCATCACGAAACTTAAAATCATTTACGAAATCAAAGACATCTAATATAAACAAAAATAAAATGTATATGTGTTTAGTTGGTAAGCGAAATAAATAAAACAAAAATGAAAATAATTTAGAAATTACAATATTTTCAATAACGGCGAACATAATGCAAAAATGTGTTTTTATTTATATAACAATGTTATATATTAAAAAAGCGTTCCAATCTTGGACATGCTAGCATATTGTCGATGGGCACACTCGGCTTGTTTTTCAAGTTAATAAAGGTAAGGAGTTTTTATAAAAGGAAAATACAATAGTACTATACCACATTTTGTAATATCGTTTCGATTCGGGTGTTAAAAATTAACTTATTTTTGTAATTATCATGCTTTCTTATTAAAAAAAGTGACCTCTTTGCCCCGTGTTCAGTGATGAGTTTTATTATTATTTATTGCTTCAAACACACCTTTGCTTATAATAAACTTTTAAATTTAATATAATTTAAAGGTAACAACTTTAGAAGACCAAATATTTTATATATATATACAGTATGTACAGGAAAATCCTTAATCCTATATTTACATAAACACTTCACTAGTTGTCTTTCATTATAGCGGTAACATTTATATAAGAGTTTTAATAAAGGTTAACCACTTTCAGTCTACTTATATACACAGATAATTTCGGAAGTTTCAGACAATAACCCAATACTTGTAAATATTAAATACTAACACATATTTGGAAGATCAAAAACCAGTAAAAATAATATTAATATATAAAATATAATATCAATTATTTATCTGCGTATAAAAATGAAATACGTACATAGTTTCCTTAAGAAATTATAAATTAGTTACAATATAACATAGTCCGTGATTTAGTGAGAATATGATTTTGACAATATTGAATAATGAATTATAATATTTTGACATAACATTTATACAAATACTAATAAATAGATATTAAAATATTAATAAATGTAATACTTTGGATAAGCATTCCTTTGCCTTTTTCCTTAAAATTATTTTTTTTAGATAATCATCATACAAAAAGAAATGGTTTAAAATCAAAATGTTGCCTTAGTAAAATCATTATGATACTGTTTCTTATAACCGTATATATGACGGGACAGTATATAAAATTATAACACGTAAATTTCATAACGGCTTTAGCAACACTTTCATTATTCATAATTATATACACTCGACATCTTGGAAGTAATACATCTGATATGCATTTTATGACGTAAAATTATGTTCTAACGCTCTCTTAACTTACTAATAATCACAGAAAGGACTAGCAATACATCCATTTAAAATATAATCTTAAACTATTAATACTGTTTTTTTTTTCGTTTGTGTAATCTGCAACCGTAGCTGTTAAATGAGGCAAATGTGCCGTCGCAACTCTTATTGACAAATAACTGTCAAAAAATATTTATTACTTAAAAAATATATGTAACCAAACTAGTTTAATCAGGTGCAGACATTTTATATGCAGTCAACATAAAACAAAAAAGATATTTTCTGGACACACTTTGCGGGAACCTTATTTTGAGTTCAGCCTCTCCAATACGTATTTCCACAATGGTCATGCTGACGAAATGGTACAAAAAACAGGAGTAAATGTGTATACACGACATTTAGGGAATTAATATTGTGTAACGTGTTGGGATTACGAAGGAACCAATAAAGAAACGAATTCAACTTTCGAGTTTAAGACAATTCGCTTAGTCGCAAATAGACGCTGTTAACGTCTAATAAGGTCTAATTATATTAGTGAAGACAATTCGTGTAAGTACGCTCATCAAACCGTCACCTCTTCGGTAAAGCGACTTTTGTCATCCAGGTTTATAACGATCGCGTGTGTCCTTGCATGGCCCGACCTGACCGTTCTGACAGCCTCCGAGCCGCTAGGACTTGCCCTGGTTTCCCTATCGCTAGTGCTAGGAACACTCCTGGCTGCATTCGGGGGGTCGCTGCTGCAGCCCGCCTCTCCACTTATAGTGAACACACCGTTTTGCTTCCCTTTATCTTCACCGCCAATCGCGAACACGCCGTCCTTCTTGTCTTTTTCTTCTCCACTAATTGTGAAGACGCCGTTCTTCTCCGTCTCCTTTCTTTTCGGCGAATCGGTGGTCATGTCGGTCTGGCTCTGCTCCGCGTTGCTGGTCTCGCCGCTTTTCGTGGGTGTTGCCTTTCGGTATGCGGGGGGCGCTTCGAAGGCCATGTCCCTCCCGCTGCTGCTGGACTCCTCGTTGGGTGTGACGTTGCACATCAGCCGGCCGGCGACCGCTGTGAATACGGTGTTGAGTCTTAACGGCGCAGAGTGCTCAGCGCTCGCCTTGTGCTCGTGCATCGTGGCCGCGTCCTGCATCTCGGCTATGCAGCGCGCTATGTTCGAGCTCGAGCCGCACCGCTCGCGCAGCTTGTCCAGCTGGTTGCACAGCTTCTTGAACTCCTCCTACGTAACAAGTAAAGGTTTGTGACCTTCAAATGTTCCGTAGTTTCCCTTATGTGATATTAGAGACATTTATGTTATACTAGCTGCTGCCCGCGACTACGTCTGCGTACATAAAATACGTATATAAATTATGGCCTATGTCTTATTCTGATGTATAAGCTATATTATTGTAAAGTTTCATTAAAATCTACTCAGTAGTATTTGCGTGAAAGAGTAACAAACATCCATCTATAAATACAAACTTTCGCCTTATAATATTAAAAGTAAGGATTTATATTAATCACATTTGATTCAGTTAAGCCATTGCGGCGTGAATGGATTATTGTGAAAATTTAGGGCGTTAGTGCGTCCTATCGCTCTAACGCCGTAAGCCATAATGATCCAAATCTATACCTATTTCATATATATATATATATATAAATACCTATGTTTTTTTTACCTCCAATTCTCTCTCTGTCATAGAAATATATATTGTATACGTAATATATTGATATTTTTCCCGTTTTCTCCCTCTATATATAATACCATATATATAGATAAGAACGGTTATTGGAACATATGTTTTTTTTACCTTTCATGTGTGGTCTCTCTCTGTCATGTTGTCGCAGAAATTGGCGTTGTTCGTTGTCTTAGTCCATTAAATAAATGTAAATATTTATGGACCTATTTTCTTATTACTAGTCCCAAACTATGGTCGTGATCGGAATTTTCCCGTTTTCTCCCTCTCTTCTTTACCGTGCCCCCTAAATACCATATACGCCTGCAGAAAAGAACGGTTATTGGAACATCAGAGGTTTCTGGTTAAAAATACTCGTTTCATGTGTGGTCTCATCACTTCAAGTGAACTTCATCCAAATATTCATCACATATCATGGATGTCATCATGTGTGAAAACCGGTGTCGGGATCAGAACTAGTTACTGTATCTCGACTTTTACCGAGTCCCGTCCGTTTCACGGTCTTATGCTGCTACACAGACCGTCACTTACTGTTGTCATTTTGTTTGCTATTTTTATGTTTACATTTATTTTAAGTTTCTGTGTAGTTACATTATTATTTTTAAGTTTTGTATGTATTCATTTTTTTTTAGACCGCGAATAAACGTTTCTTCTTCTTCTTTTATATGGCAAGGATTTTTATATACATATAGTTTTCTTAAATACAAATGAAAAAGATTCACGAGGCTAAGCTTATAATAATAATGAAAATAGCGCACCTTGCTTCCGAATATAAAACACAGTAGCAATGTTACAGTCAGCTGTGTGTGACAAAAGAATATGATATACAGGAGGTCTGGATTTGCTGGAGATTGTAAGAATAACCTGAAAGTAATAGGAAAATGAAATATAGGAATATTATTTTTTTATATTAAACTATAATGATTTTTTTTTATGTGAAAAGTTGCCCAACGAGCAGACGGTTCACTTGATGGTAAGTGAATACCGCCGCCCATGGACATCTGCAACACCCGAGGGTTACAGATGCGTTGACAACCTTTTGAAAATTGGGCTCCGGTTACCTCACTAACCAGACGAAACGCGAAAGTATTTGTCATACTTCCACTTTACGCTGGTCTTATGTGAGGTCGTGGTACTTACCCGGACGGGCCTGCCCATTTTTGCAACAGCCGAGGCTGCATGGCCCTGCCACCGTGAAGATTGTTTTATTATTGCGGCAATTTAAATTATTGTATGCAGAACAATGGGTGGTACATATTTATTTATGAAATAGATCTATTTCGCGAGTTTTGTGGCGCGTTCTAAGTTTTTAAACTACCAGAACTGGTCCCATGGCTGAATACCATAAAACTTTTAAAGACACAAAATGGCAACTAATAAAAAAATAAATGGCTCATAAATATGGGTCAAAAATTATGTCTTCCTTAATACAAATCTCGATCGAACGTTGATCCCTGGATCACAATATGTTTTTAGACTTTGATGACTCCGTGGCGCAGTGGCCAAGGTATCGGCTTCGGCGTCGGGGGTCGTGGGTTCGATTCCCACACGGGACAAATATTTTTGTGACCCACAAATAGTTGTTTTGCACCTGGGTGTTTGTCCACGTGAATTTTATGTTTGTAAAACGTCCTTACAACGCAGGATAACGTTATCCAAAAGTAAGAACAATGTTTTTTTTTTTAAGAAAAAGTAAGAAAAAGAGAAAAGACTCACTAGTCTTTTCTTTTCTAACATCTTGTGACTTAGCCACAAGATGTTTTTTGATCAAAGGTCTTTACCATGTACATTATGTTTATATGGTAATTATTATTTACTTTTTTCTTGTTAACGATATTTGTCTGAGTTCAAAGAAGTTTTGTAATTAAAAGCGTTATTAAGCGACATTACATATTTGGGAGGTTCAGCGCGTATGACGTAATTTGTATGACGAATATGACAGAATGTAAAAGACAAGGTTAATTATAGCTATGTGTTTTTAGAGCTTAGTGAACAAAGAATTCTGACATGTTTTTCTGTTAACTATATTAAGATATCTTTTGAGAACCATCTATTTAGGCAATCTTTAAAATAGATCTCAATTTATTAAAAAAAAAAATACACAAATTACGATGACAGCTCAACCGATACCTATTTTGATTTTGTTTGTGTAATCACTACAGACCCGACTCGACAACAATCAAATTATTAACTCAGAAGGACGTCTTCAAACCTTTTAGCTTGATTGAAATTGGTCTTTGATCACGAATGGATTTTTAGGAGTATTGAATAAATTCCTAAAAATTCATCCATTCACATCAAATACAATAATCGGCATCATCATTATATTGCCCGAAATTGAAAAACGTATAGGATAAAGGGATATTGCTAGTGTTTTTCGCTTATCAACATACATATTTAGCTCTCGACGACTCTTGTGTTCAGCCAGTCACCGTAAAGGGGCCAAGACTTTGAGATTAACGTTTGCACTTTAAGAATGGAAATCTCGGTTCGAACCAGTAACTTGATTGCAAGTCAATGGTTCGGATCCTTAGGCACGTAACAGAATTTATACATCCATCTACAACATGGTACCTTACGGCCAATGACGGACAATGATATGGATTACGGACAAATATACGACACTAGCGTGCCGAAATTGAGGTGGTACACAAATTGGTGTAATTATATTGCAATTCTATAGACCGGTATGTATTTCCCTATCAATACGTTCATTTCATCTATCACATTCACTTTTACATGTCATGAAACGAAACAATTTTTAAATACCGCGCAGTATGGAAATGCGTCGTCTATATTATTAAACATTACTGCTTATTATATTACGGCCCATTATTATATTAATTACCAGCTGCTGCCCGCGACTACGTCTGCGTAGAATAAGCTGAAGGCGTGACATTCAGACAGATAGACAGATATACCAAAAATATGTATATAAATTATGGCCTATGTCTTATTCTGATGTATAAGCTATATTATAGTAAAGTTTCATTAAAATCCATTCAGTAGTAATTGCGTGAAAGAGTAACAAACATTCATCCATACATACAAACTTTCGCCTTTATAATATTAGTAAGTATTAATTATATTTGCCCTTGTAATATAACTGCTTATTATATTACGGCCCGTCTTAGCATTGCCTTTTGCTTTTTACGGAAGCGACACATATACAGAATACTCACATGGATATATTTAGGAAACCGGACAGCAGAAATTCGTTGTAAATGGCCATTGATATGAAACGACTCTCGTTGAATTCAGATGGCGCTTTCCTCACCATGATGCAGAGACGGATGCCCCACATCAGGAAAATTACTTCGACTGCAAACAAGTCTCTCCTTCATACCCAAAAAGACACGTTTCACGAGCGAACGGAGCAAATGTATAGGCGGTTCTCTCTTCCCTTATTGGGACCCTTCCCTTCCGTTATGGACATGCCATTTGTAGAAGCATCGTTCTTTGATGAAATGAAAGGAAATATGAATAAGGATATGCCTACGATTCTTAACTTACCTAAAAATTAAAACATGTAGAAAAAGTACGAAAAGATTGTCGTCAAGCATTGCTTCAAATGCTAAATAACAATGTAGAGAGAAGGCGTTAAGATTTTCGTCGCTGTGGCTATCAGCCGTTTAGCTCAGTGGCTAGAGCGTCAGGCCGCGAATGCCGAAGACGTGGGTTCGATTCCCACAGCGGCGACAATCTTTTCGTACTTTTTCTACATGTTTTAATGTTCAATCTTAAGTGCAGAGCATTAGCACTATAAAAAACTTTAAAATTAACCTAAAAATATAAAAATATAAATACTTCTACTAAACACCGATATTCAAAAAGGCTATTAATAGTATTTCTCCAATAAAGTGTCAGTCGGATTTTCTATGCTTTTCTTATTAAAGAAACTAGGTTTTCTTGGTACCTGTATATATTAACTATACTAACTCTATACATTTATATTTCTTAACGTTTATTGTACTAATATGGATGTCAATAAAATAATCATGAGACTAGTGTGAGTAGTGCACCAATGTGAGGTAATGTTTAACAAAAAGATGATAGTTAGTTCTTTATTTTTATATAATATTATATGGTACAATACGGTAACATTGGAAGAGACGATAAAGTAGAGAATGCTAGAATGCTTACGAGTTGTGAATGAGTGATCCCACCAGTCGGTGTTGCACAAGTACGCCTTGAGGTCCTCCCTGGTCCTGCCAACAATGACGGCTGGCGGTGCCACCAGGGTCCTAATGGAGAGTAGCACACACGCCACGCCCACTATGACACCGATTCGCCGTAGCAGGTACATGTCCGATATCTTCACGGCTTTCGCCGAACGGACTTGGAAGATGACTGATATCCTGGTAATAATATTATAAGTTTTTCCTTGAGAAGATAACCACCATTACAGAGATATTATTGGAGCAAAATACGAACAAATAGAATAGAAAGAAAGAAAGACAAATATTTATTTGGTACATAAACGTAAAAACACATAAAACCAATAAACACAGTAATTTTGTTACAAAGAGAAAAAAATAATTTTAAATGCTTATTAGTGCACCAAAAAGGTTACCAATCAGCGTTAAACTCACGAAGTTTAATAATAAAAAAAAAACTACATGAGAGCTGATTTTCAGTGATTTCAGTTACATGTCAACATGTCTTTAGTTGCAAATCGTCCTAATGGAAGTAATCCAATGAGCTAGTAAAAATATTATTAAATTTGTTAACATTAAATGATATTATTGTTTAATACAGGTCTTATTTCATGGAAATTAATCCGCGTAACATAATTATTCTTCATAGCGAAGAAAAGTAAGATAAAATGTTGTGCTTTCATTTCTTTCTACAATTACTGTATGCTCATAAAATATTTCGCTACCCCAATCTAAAAATAGACGTGAGCTACGTCTTATGGATTACAATTGCGTTGTTAAAATTTCATTTAATCATAAAACCTCCGCCGAATGAAGCATTAAGGATGTCAATCTAAATATTTATGACCCGGAAATTGAATGAGAAGGCGACATTAAGGGTATATTAGGGGCTTCGCAAAGGTCGTACATATTTTGTTGTTATTGCTACGAAATGATCTTGGGTCCGGAAAATGCGCCTCCAATTTGATAACAGGCCTTCGTTATCATAGCAGCTAAAAGTAATCTCAGCCAAAAGTTCTATAATAATAGTGGACAAAAGTAAGCCAGGAAATTTTATGAAGAAAGGTAGAAGATGTGTCAAAGTATATTCAAATGTAGCTAAATATGTAGTCTAAAATAATGAAGTTTGTCATGTTTATAAAGAATATTACAGTGTTTCTGCTATGGTAGAAAACACTTCTTTAAAAAGTATTACCTAGATTCTGGGCCGTAATAAGGCGTGTCTGGTCTCGAATAAAAAAATCAGAAAATCTGGTTTACTGCTCTGTTCCAGAATGCGATTAATAGTGCTTGGTATCTTGGAATCGACTCATGTAACTGATTTTTTACGCGTATATAATGTACTGTAAAATACTTCTTATATTTATTTGTTTTGTAAACACTGCGTTTCGTAAATATTCTCCAATCGTTCGTCTATTTGTCATGTCTAGTCCACTTTTGAAGGCTTTCATTCTATGTATGTATAAAGTGTAACCATTTTCATTCTATACGTAAATGATCCAAAAAGGATTAAGAAAATCATGAATACTCCCACGAACATCCGTACTTAATGTCTTGACTAGGTGACAAACAAAGTATTAAACTTTGTTAGTATACATATATAGCAATTATAATGAGAACAGTTTTTTAAATTAGGGATACGCTTTGGCTCTTATTTTATTACTTTTCATGGAATTTGTACATTTTCATAAAATTTTACTAGTATTCGATGTCACGGCACCGATCGATTTATTGTTCAATCTCTTTGCAACTTCCTGCTTTTAGTTAAACCCACGCATGAGCACATGCGCCTACCCACAGCGGAGGACCCAAACCCGTGGGTTCTGGCTAGTCCACCGGTTCTGTGTCAGATGAAGCTTTAATAGTCTTGGGACTGAAAGCAAAAACATCAGTTAATACAAGATACAACTTCCTGCTCCCTCAATAAAGCAAATGCAAAATATTGCTTTCCACAAAAATTAAGATTTAAAAATATGTATGTTATCGTATTATAATCCATAATAATTAAGTAATTGTTTCAAAGTTAAAAGTTCTCTTCCTTCGTTGAGCATCTATCTAAATATATTCACAGATGGAAGATTTCCCGTATGGAGCTCGGTTAATCAAATAAAAGAACTATACAAACCTCCAAGTCTTGAGCATCAGAGCGCCATAAGTGAGGCAAAAACCGACTTCCCGCAACCAGACTCTGGCGGTACAGGTGAAAACTGTAGGCCTCCCGTACATAACCAACGTAGTACAGTAGATTAAAAGGGCACCTAGCACTATAACTCTAAGTAGGGCAGGGCTGGCCGCTCGGACAACCTAGAAATTTCATCAGTTATCAGTAAGCATTCCGTGCCAATATATTCAGCGATTTGGAAATCTCAATTCAATAAAGAGATCCAATCAACTATATTTATGTTCCTCAGATGCTATTAAGATATTTCGAAATACACTCTAAAGAATTTTCTTCCGAAATGATTTGATAAAAAAATACTGCTGTAATCATTTTAACAAAGTTTTAATATTTTTTTATTAAAAAATTACTGCTGTTATTCTTTTATCAAAATCTTAATATTGTTTTATTAAGAAATAGCATGTTCGTGTATAGTAAAAAGGAGGAGTTTTTATTTTACTTCCCTTGGCTTTGATGATATGCTAGCTGGCTGCTATCTTACCCTGACATGTCCGTACTTGATCGTGAAATAGACGATGAACGGCAGACACGATATAACGAAGCAGGCCAACGCGAAAATCGAACTTCTGACCACCCAGTTCAAGGCCGCCACGCACGGCGAGCCGTCCATGCAAGCCTCACACCCCTCGGCGCAGGGGAGGCATTCGAAGGTCGCTACCACAGAGTACAGAGACGCTTGGTGCTGCAAATAAAATTATGTTTTTAATTTTCTTCATACTGATGGCTTTCGATCTTTGCATGGCTTGCCTCATGTTGTCGGATAGACATCTGCAACACCACGTGATACGGATGGATTAAACGGCGTTATGGATGTGTTTAAACTGTGGCAGAGCCCCGCAACAGTCTCTGCTGTTGCACGAATGGGCAGGGTCGTCCAGAAAGTACCACGGCCTCACAGAAGACCGCCGTAAAGTGGAAGTAACAAACTTTAGCGTTTCGTCTATTCGTCAAAATTATTGTGTGATAAACTTTTTGTTATTGTACTGTCTGAGTGCTGTCTAAAATATGTATTAATTTACGAAAGAAACGTACGTTTAAGCATGTTTAAATTACCTAGTACCCATAGTTCAAGCCTTGCGCGGTTTGGGACTAGATATACATCCTGAAATATTTATATGTTTTTTATTTTCATTTCACCCCGGTCATCTATGAGGCCCTAGTACTTCTGGTTCAATCAATTTGTGTAGTTATCGCAGCTCTTTTAATGTTTTAATTAATAAACTGACTGCTTACCAGGAGAGCCGTGATAGCTTAGTGTCCGGGCGCTCGCCTTTAATTCAATATACTCGAGCAACCTGAGTTCGATCCCCGGTGCCAATGAAGTTTTTAACTTTAAGTGCTGACTTATCACGTGCTCCGCGGTGAAGGAAAACATCGTGAGGAAACCTGCATATTTTCGAAATAGTAACAAAAAAAATGTATTTCGAAGATATGTGAAGTCCGCCAATCCGCAGTGGGGCCGCGTGGTGGACTATGCCCTGATACCCTCTCTATAGAGAAGGCCTTTGCCCAGCAGTGGGACATGTATAGGCTGTTACTTTACTTTTTTTACTTTACCAGGAGATGCTTCTCGTACTCCTCCTCGATGTCGCTCCCGTTGTAGAATCGGCGTTCAGCGGTCGTGTTGGGAAAGTAGAAGCCGCGTCGGCATACACAGCGGTACGAGCCGCGCCGGAAGCCGAGGCCAGGCACCGGCACGCACTGTGAAGTGGCACAACGTAATATGTGGCAAGGCCTCGCAACATGTTCGCTGTTGCACGAATGGGCAGATCCGTCCCGTGTGCCATGACCTCGCAGAGGATCGGCGCGAAGTGGGAGTTTTATACTTCCGCGTTTCGTCTGGTGAGTGAAGTAGGCCCACTTTATTAAAAGGAAAAGCATCTGCCACGTAACGGGTGTTGCAAATGTTAATGGGCGGCTGTCATCACTTAACGTCCGGTGAACCGCTATCCGCTACAGCTACTACTTAGTAAATATTATTTTTTAAAAATCTAATTGGTTTGAATGGAAATCTATGACGTCACAACACGGCGCGATGTCGAAATGAAATTCAAAGATAAATGTGTATAAATGGACAAGATTACAACCCTATTATATATATACAGCGTGTCGTTACAATCGCGACAATAAATGAATACACATATAGAGGATAACTTTTTAAAATTGTATTAAACTTTTAAATTCTTTAAACATCAATATTTAAAGTTTTTAAATTTTCCTAAACAAATAATTTTGGAACACCCTTACCTATAAAAGCGTAACGTAAAGTTCATTTGTAAAGGTCACAAAGCATGTGAATGGGTTGAATGAATTTAAAAGAGACAAAACATACTGTTAGAAGGAGAGGCTTGTAATCCGACGCTGTGGCGCGAGTTGTACAGGTGTTACAATTTAGTTTTTTTTTTTACTTAATTAGTTTGTGTGAAAAATATTTTTTTTAATTATGGATTTTGTTTAATGTTAATATTTTTTTATGAATATTGGCAAGTAGCTTTAGACGTGTCTTCATTTATTGTTATCGCGACGGTAACGACACGCTGTATATATATATAATTATTTAGTCTATGAAACCATGGCATTTTATCAGGTCAATGACCGTTAAAGCTTTACCTTGCCCTAAGGGCGGAAAGCGACAATATCCTCCAGAGAATATAAAGATAAGCGGTTTTAGAGAGACGTCCATTACGGTGCTTCCACCAGAGCCACCTAATTATCTGCTCTGTCAGGGCTAGAGTGGCGTCTTTTAGATTCTTTCGCGAAAATTAATTCGCTTTGCCGTGGAATTTAAGACTTTTTATTCGTATAATTTGCCCGAAGAGGCCACAAGTACACTGAAGACAGCTGTGTGGCGTGTGTTTGATTTGCGTTTACACGGCGGTTTCTTGTTTGTTTCAAATGAGAGGTAATGTTATAGCATTTTCTTTTAGTTAAGGAAGTATATAAAAATAATAAGTTAAAGAAAAGTCGTGAGATTTTGCACCTAACATAAAAAATAATACTTCAAACAACACTGTCTGAAGAGATGGTAAATATCAGAAAGATTCAAAACAGAAAAAAGGAGGTAAATAGACATATCGAAAGGGAGAAAAGGTATCTAGTATGTGTTACAATAAGCAATTTCCAAAAGTTATTAATTTATGTTACACTTTTAAGACTATTGATACTCCTTTCATCATTACTGTTAAAAAAATATTATCTAAGACATATATTTTATTTCAAATTTATTTAACTTTCGCGTGGTCTTAGTCGATGTACGGAAATACTTTATTCAATGTTTAAACTATAATTTTAAGGTTGGAAAAATAAACTGTAATAGCGTGATGAACATTACCACAAACAATTTGAATTGCATTTGCATTTTTTAAAAACTTCCAAAGGCTTCGAGCATGTTCATGTTTCGAAATACGTACTGCGATGAATTATACTACGAACAGTTTTAACTGCACTTTAATACAAAGGGAATAACAGAAACAGCACGAAGATATCACCGCAATTTTGAACGTGTCCAACAAAGCGAGAGTGTTAGAAGAGTAAAGACAAGCAAGTGAAAGAGACAGAATGACGATATCATAGCAAACTTTTTAAGAACGTAACCAACAAAGCGATCGTCCTAAAAGAGTAAAGACAAGTAAGTAAAAGAGACAGAATGATGATATCATCGCAAACTTTTTAAGAACGTTTCCCAACAAGACGAAAGTCTTAAAAGAGTAAAACCGCGCGGCGACATCTGCTCAACGCCGTTCAATTTTTCGTCTCCGTTATTTAAGTCCCCGAAGCCTAAGCCGATTTTCCTCGAGGAACAAAGAAATACTTCCCTCGGCTATTTGATTGACAGTGTCCCTCGGTGGCCGCTGTTTCTTATGAATTATTCTTTTTCTTCAGAGAAATTTTTTCTACATGGCAAATTCATGACTCGCTGTCAGTCATCGTTAATGGCTTCTTTTGTGTGCGTTATGCGTAAGATTGTCCAGCCAACGAGTAATTATTAATACTAACAGATATTTTATACAGAGTAATTATGAGTTAAAAAAACAATGACGAAGATTGAAGTGGGGGTATAAGACAGCGTGTTAACACTAGTAGTTTTCGGTGTGGTAGGGCCAGGCAACAGTTCGTCGCTGAATGGGCAGGTCTGTACGAGGAAGTACTACGACCTCACAGAAGACCGGAGACCGTTATACTTCTGCGAATCGTATGGTGAGTGATCTAAGCGAGGTCCAGTTTATAAAAAGTGGCAACACATCTGCAATCTTATCTCTTAACGAGATCGCTGCTTAAGAAATAGGGCCGCCTGTTAACCATCCGTTTTTTTTAATTGTAAATACTGTAATCTCTCTTGGTGTACAGTAAAGTATACATTTTTTTTTATGTGACAAGTTGCCAAACGAGCAGACGGTTCACCTGATGTTAAGGGAATACCGCCGCCCATGGACATCTGCTACACCCGAGGGTTACAGATGCGTTGACAACCTCTTGAAAATTGGGCTCCGGCTACCTCACTCACCAGACGAAACGCGAAAGTATTGTCATACTTCCACTTTACGCTGGTCTTCTGTGAGGTCGTGGTACTTACCCGGACGGGCCAAAGAATTTATATAAAAAAATTTACTTTTACTTTACTTAACGTCAGGTGAACCGTCAGCTCTCTTGCCACGTTCTAACACATAAAAATATTCAAAATATGTTGAAGCAGTGTTATTTTTGTATTATATTAATAAAGTATTATAATCACGGCTCACCTCAGTTGTTTTCTTCTTGCACTTATCTGTTCCAGCAAAGATGTTCAATTGAGTCGAGCCGGGCTTCAAGGGACACTGGTCTATGTCGACTCGCCGGAGGTCTATGTCGATGCCGCTAGTGCCTCTAAAAATAAGTTTTTCTTATCACAATCATAAATCTAATTTATATTTGCTTTCGGTTTCTTAAACGGCTGGACCAATTTTAATTAAATTTTTTGTGTGTGTTAGATTCACAAAGTTATTCAAAAAAGTTAATTCAGAAAGTTATTAAAGTGAATACACGTCTTAACGTGTGTACAGGACAACGTATGTCCGGTTCACTAGTATATATATAGTTATTTCAGTGACAGCTCTGTCTCAGCTTTCTTGAAGTCTTATTCGGAATCGGTGAGATGAATAATATTCATCGCTAGTTAACTCATTGAGCCGTGATAGCTCTCTGTACGGGCGCTCGCTTTTATTTAGGGTTCCGTACCCAAAGGTTAAAACGGGACCCTATTACTAAGAGTCCGCTGTCTGTCTGTCAGTCTGTCCGTCCGTCTGCCACCAGGCTGTACCTCATGAACCGTGATGGTTAGACGGAAGAAATTTTCATAGATGATGTATTTATGTTGCCGCTATAACAACAAATATTAAAAAAAAACAGACTAAAAATATTTAAGTGGGGCTCCCATATAACAGACATTTTTGCCCTTTTTATAGATAACGGTACGGAACCCTTCGTGCGTGAGTTCGAAACGCAATTGGCCGGTTTTTTAAGTACTGGAGTTACAAATCCTGATGCCAGTGCCAATGAAATCGTTAATTGCAAATTTAAGTGCTGACTTATTACGTGCTCGGCGGCAAAACCTGCTTGCATATTTACAAAATAATAAAAAAAAATATTTCAAAAACGTAAAGTCTGTTAATCCGCAGTGGGCCGCGTGGTTGACTGCGCCTGAACTCTACATAGAGGATAATCTGTTCATTATCCTGCTGCCCTTATCCCACCTAGGAGGGGTCGGGTGTGAATCATGTCGTGACTTTGGCTAGGTTTTTCACGACCGGCCTGGCGTCAACCCTCCTTGAGAAGAAATACCCATAACCGCAACAATTATCTGTGGGTCACACAAGTAATTGTTCCGTATTGGAATTGAACCCACGACCCCCGGTGCCGAAGCCGATAGGCTAGCACCGCCACCGTATCATCATAGGGTACGCAATCATCATCATCATCATTTCAGCCTGTTTGAGTCCACTACTGAACATAGGCCTCCCCCGTAGACTGCCACGAAGTACAATCCTGAGCCACCTGCATCCATCGACTTCCCGCACATTTGCACAGGTCGTCACTCCATGTAGTGGGGGGTCGACCCACACATGCAATAGCATTAATATATTAGCTTTAACTTACTCGTCTCTAACAACCCTGATAGGATGAAGTCTCGGCACCTTATACAGTAAAAGACACACAAGCTTTTATCGCGTAATGAATGCGCGGAAGTGGCGAACTTTGTCCTGTTTAACTCTTTACAGTGAAAAAGTCTTTTAAGACTTGAATCGTTTAGTCGGAGTCCAGTTGCGTGCCGCTCGCTGGGTAATTGCGAGCAAAGGTAAAATGTCTGACCTACTAAAAATCGGGACATGCCACAGGCTAAGTAAGAATAAATACGCCGTGGGAAAAAAAGAATCTAGCGTGGGCTTAATTAACTAGCTTGGTACGGTAGCCTGTTTCATGAGTGCAAGAATTAGAAAGGAAATTTTACGCACCAACTTATCTTTACGCATATACCTCGAAAATTTTACAGTTTAGTAGGTTAAATGTTTAGATTCTTGCTAAATTAAACGGCTATATAAATGAAAGGGTTGCGGTGATGGTACGTGGAGACAATAATATCATATTTAACTTTTACGAGTTTTTATATAACATTAAAGCAATGAAATAATGTAAGAAATTTTAATTTTTTAAATTAAAACAAACTACACTAGCTTTTTAGTTACAAGACTCAATATATTTAGTCAATATACCTCAATATAACTCAATATTACTCAATATACCCAAGAGAAAGGCTGTTTTTTCAATACTTTGCCATATTTCCGAATCGATATGATACAATATTGGAATCAGTATATGTAGGGTATTTGAGATATTTACATTCACAAGATTGTAACAAGATGAATTTTACGTAATAATTCGTAAATTTGCATTAACTAGTTAAAACTGTAAACGACCATTTGCGTTACGTGGTTTATCCATGGATTGCAATAAATAATTTTTATACTCTAAGCAATTTTCAAAACTGCTACAACGTTATAAACTTAATACAAACTTCAGCGCTTTTACGTTTACAGTTTAACGGTTACCGTTCAACAATTGAATGGTTTCGCGATGCTCCAGAATAATCCATTTAGCTAGTTCTATCAGCGACCCAATCGTGTGTTATTGCTCCGACGACGTTGTCGAATGGCACTGACGAAGCACAAGAAACCAATTTAGAGATCAGCAGTCAGATCCGAGCGGGCTTGTTGTTGAAACTTGTGACTAAGCTTTGGCAAAATTGTTTAATCTATCCAACACTAAAAACTTACATGCAATGTAGAGGGAAGAACTGATAGATCGACACACGACAAAAATGGATTAAGTTACATACGTGCCCACTCGCTACTAGTAGCCATAAGTGTCAAACTTAATTAAAAATTACAACAAAGTTCACTTGAACGAAATCAAAATTAAAACAAAAGTTTCGAATTATAGAATCCGTGAAATAGTTTCATTTAACAATGTATAATATTCTTGTAAAAGAAAGAAATCAATATAGGACGAAATCGTTTACTGGGTATAACTGATATTACTTATAACTATGATAACTGGAGGCGTGAGGTAGAATAAAATGGAAATTCAGGTAGATTCCATAGGTTATAGTTCTAATTATAAATTTAGGAAGTGATTTTCGCCTACCGGTTAATTTTTGCTTATTAAATTTTTTTTATGTATGTAAGCAAATACTAAACATGTAGTTCAATTTATTAAACAAGTAGTAAAGAAATACATATATATTTCAACGCTTTTTATTTTATTTTTGATTTCCCGATGCTCACAATATCATAAATGCTGTTAGTAATTTTATTTCAAGACATATTTTCAACCGACCTCAAAAAAGGAGGTCCTCAAGTGTTTGTTTTATGTTTGTTACCTCAGAACTCGGGCATTTATAAAGGGATTTTATAATTTAATTTTGCATTGGGTAAGGTTTTTGCAAATTTTTGTTGTATCCCGTGTGGTCCCAAATGGTAAATGGAGCAATGGAGCCCAAGGTCTAAACCCTGGGCTCTAGAAATACACCAGGGACCTTATCAAAATAAAATAGAGAATGTGCAATGGGTGACATATTTTAAATCGGTTTTGTTTTTTTTACTTAAAAATAAACTTTTGTACAAGCCAAGTTTGCGGTGGTAGGGCCACGCAGCAGCATCGGCTGTTGCACGAATGGGCGGGCTCGTCCGGGTAGAATCACGACCTCACAGAAGACCGGTGTAAAGTGGAAATTTACTTATAGTAAAGAACAAGTATGGTGAGTGAGGTGGCTGGAGCCCAATTTCCAAAAGGTTGTAAACGCATCTGGAAACCTCGGGTGTAGCAGATGTCAATGGGCGGCGGCATTCACTTAACATCAGGTGAACCGTCCGCTGGCATGGCAAATTTTCAACAACAACGGCAACAATAATTATAATGTTTTTTGACCTTTTCACAATAGTAAGGTAGCTTAGGTTGTAGGTGACAAATTTGTAATAGAGTATCTATATAGATATCTAGTACCAAAATTTCTCAAGTACAACCTAAGCTCTTTGCATTTCCGGTCCGCATTCCCAGTATATGGAAGTACGTTCTTATTTAAAATGATGTGTTAAAATTTTTCGCCACCAATTTTTAAACAATTCCACTGCAATGATATCTGTAGAAAAAAAAAATCTTGATTTGTCACTTAATGAATTAAATCCTAGACTTATCGCCGCGACTTGTCGCTCAAAGGTTATTCGTAACTATTCAGCGAGGAAATGCAGCTAGCGTTCTTGGCACCATGCCGCGTACACTAGGTTTTTTAGATAATATGTAAGGGGTTGGATAGATTTAATGTTATAAATATTGCATATAATAATAAATGGTCGTTGATTTAAATGTAACATCTACATTGTTAACAAGTTTTTATTTCACGACATACTGTTTTGTATAGTAAATATTATTAGTAATGTTTACAGATTTGTAATAGTAGTAGATAAGAGAGCGTTTTTTTCTCTAATAAAAGTTGACACAAAGTCTATAGCAGCTCAATCTCGCTCTATTCTTATTCCGGGCGTAGTTACAAATGTCAATTGTCATTTAACATAACTTCTCACTTAAAAAGTGATAGATCCGAATATCATTCTGTGAGCCACACAAATATTTATCCGGAGTGGGAAATTAACTCACTAAGGTGATAACCTGCTAGGTTGATGATAGCGCCTACGATGTACTACTTCAATGTTGCAATGTCCAACGATACTCCGATGCCAGGGGTTGCCAAATTGTACCACCATTTAGTTGGAGCTGCGGTTTCTAAAGGCAGCACAAGAAAATTGGATATAGAAGGTAGCTAAGGTTATTAAGGCTCACTTAAAGAAATAAGTCCCGTTGCTATATCCGAAGAATGGCACGGTGTACGTCAGCATCCATATGTTGCCACCGCCACAATCGTAGTAAGGCTTCGACCATTTCCCGTCCTCGTAGGTCACGGAAAGAATCTCGTCGAATTCACGCTCCGTGTGGGCAGTATCGTTGTACGTGTAGGTGTTGTATCCTGTATGAGAAAGTGCCGGATATTACGTTCTGATAAATTATTAACAGCAGAGATGATTGTGATTAAATTATTTATAAATTATTATTAAAGACCCGTAAATAAGAAGAAATAGAAGTACTTCCCATATTTTGTAGGTACTCTTTATTATTATAATCATTATTCTTAATTCGAAAATATGCAGGTTCCTTGCGATGTTACCTTTGACCGAAGTGCACGTAATCAATAATGATTAATAAATACCTAAAATTGCAAGTTATATTAGAGCTGGCATCGAGATTCGAATTCAGGTTGCTCAGGTTAAATTTATTAAAAACCAGCACGGTTACTGAGGTATCACAACTTATTAACAGTTTATAAACTATCTAAAATGTTTACACATATTTGCATCTTTAAAAAAACAGGTTGATGTACGATTTCCAGACATACAAATTTCACTCAATTCATGGAAATATACGTAATGTATAGAATTAATAAACATTTTTAAAACATTTCCAACTTGTCAAGACCGAACACTGCAACATATAAATGTTCGCGGATATTCCACAGATGACAACAGAAAAGCGTCTGTTAAGTGTTCAAAACTTCGGAAGTTTCAAACAAAATTAAACGGGATAAATCCTGCAATATAATTTTGTCTTGTTGTACTTTTTTTTTTAAAGACGCTAGTAGTATACCGTTATACCGTATTGGCGTAATACGAGAAAACTTATTTAGAACACCCATCATAGTAATGAGATATAAATTCTACGTTTTAATTCATTAAACAATTTGATTTACTGGAATGCGTTGTAGTTCATGACGATAATCTACTCACTAGATTAAACCTTTCACAGTTCTAGTTTCAACGCTTACTTCATACGTACCTCTTCTAAACTGATTATGATTTCGTATCACGCGCTCCGCGTTCTTGCGCGCTATGTAGAACCACTCAGACGTGTTGCTCAAATATTTGTATTCCACCGCTAGATCCTTCGCCAATATCGGCCCCTCGGGCAGACGATACGCGAACGGACAAAAGAGTTGGTAATCTTTATATTGATACTGGTCGTAGCAGTTCCCAGCAGCGAACACGTCATCGTCAAACTCCACCATGGAGAAGACGCTGGCATGGAGCAAGTATTCGTTATGCATTACAGCCGGCCCAGCGTACTTCCACAATCTTGTCAGCATGTTGGCTCTGTTCACTGCCACTTCGGCCTCTATCCTAAACCGCTCTTGAGCGTATCTGTCCACCACGCCTTCACCTAAGTTCAAATGTGTACCAGCTGTACAGTTCTCTCCCAATAAGTGCTGCGTTTCTATTAACCTTAAAAATTTAGTAACAACATCTTCGTGTACACTCGGCTTCACAAAAGTGGCGTTATCTGAACCACTATAAGAATCATTAGTTAAGCTATCTCTGTTAGCCTCAGCACTTAAAATGTCTTCCATAGTCAGCTTTTGAGTCTCGTTGTTGTCGTAACTATGTTCTACATTGTACAAGTGATCGAGTATAGAAATATCTTCACCGGGCTCTTGTGCGTGACTACTCCCAGAGAAGTTTCCAAACAATTTCTGAAACAGTTCAACTGCTTCTAATTTGGGTTCGTCTTCATCTGGTGCGCTATAAGGTCTCAAAGCCGCTACGACCGGATCCTCCCCGGATTTATCGATAGTCTCTGTAACAAAACACAACAGGTTAAAAAGGGAAACTTTTTCTTTGTCATTATAGAAAAAAATATATGCCCAAATCGATTTTGGGTCGTATTTTATTATTCATATTTAATAATACCGACTTTTTAGATTTAGTGAAATAAGTTCATTAGACATCTGTTCACTATCATTTAAAAATGTTTTTAGTACTGTTTACTTTTTGTTCTTAACGTGTTTCAATGAAAAATATATAGTTTAAAATCAGAATTATAACTGGAGTTTTCGTGAATATTAAAATTCGATATCTCGCATGATTATAAGATCTAAAGGATTAAAGTCGGCGGGCTAAGCTAGTGTGCACAAGCAAAACTATTGTTAAATCGCAGCTTAACGAAAAACTATGCTCAAAATTTAATATAAGTCGATCTAAATTCTGTGCCAGTAAATCGTAAGCGTGTTTTTATGATTTAAATAAATTTTTCCGCCATGGAAATAATTAACAAATAAAAAAAAAATAACAAGAATTCATACAAGTTTTAAGAATACATATCTCAGAAAAGTTATTATAAGTAATATATCGAAAAAATGGTGCGAGTTGCAGTAGAGTTCATATTAAATTATGTAATTAAAGTAACAATCATTGGAAAAAAGTATTTCAAATTCAGAACTTGCAGTTTTATTAAAAAGATATTTTGCAGTTTACTGCCAGCGATAGGGGCGCATGTAAAGACGCCTTTCGCGTAAAAGGGATTTCATCGCGTAAGAAATGGGCGTGTAAAATTTGCTATCTTACCCTATAAAGGAGGATTTTGTTTATGGCAACACCAGATCGGGGTTTTCATTACGGGGGCAATTGATCGCCTACATTATTTATCGGCGGCAATTTTGCCTTCAACTTGGGCTGGTACGAAGAAGCTGTTAAGGTACATTTTGCAGCAGGTTTAATGTCTTGAAGTGATAAATTGTCTATTGCGGATGAAACTATATTCTGTCTGTAGCCAATCTCAACATAAACTATGCTACTTACTTACTATCCTATTATGCATAAAGAAAAGGTATAGAACATTTTGAAAATGTTCTTTTTCTCTCCGATTACTAGTTTCTGATAAAATTGACTTTAATTAAGCTCGCTCGTCTGTCTCTTAAGACTTTTATCATTAAATTGATTATCATAAAATGGTAGGAGCACTAGCCAGTGAGATATTAAAAAAAATGTAAATATTACTTTTCAACCGACTTAAAAGGAGGTAGGTTCTCAATTCGACTGTATTTTTTTATGTTTGTTACCTCAGAACTTTCAATTGATTGAACCGGTTTTGATGATTCTTTTTTATTTGAAAGGTTCCCATGTGGTCCCATTTATTATTATTATTATTTTACTGGAATTGGATCTTGGGCTCCGGAGTTACTTAGGGAACTCCTAAAAATCAATTACAATATGAATACAGAGCGAGACATTTGAAGTCTTTGCTTTGTTTTTTGTTAATAAAAAATGGACTTGTTGTCTGCTTGTTGTCTACTTGTTGCCTACTTGTTGTCTACTCATCGGCTCCTCTCGCGTGTATTTCTTAAAAAAAATCCTAGGGCATGTTATTGTGTAAACATGTTGAATTCCGCTTGGAAATAAAATTCGGGAATACTTAAAAACTTTACAAGAGTTCCAGCGATAAACAATGAAAAATATTCACTTTTTCAAAGCGCCCTAGCGGAATGTACTGAACCATTCTGACGCACTAAGTACCCATTAGTGGTAAACATTAAGTAAGCAATTCACTTCTGAATGTAATGTTCTGATCTCTGGAAGTATCTTTTCTATAAAAATAATTACAAAGTTATTGCAAATAATGTTTAACAAAAACTCTCGAAATTAATTTTGATAATTTACACAAAACCTGAAAATTGTTAAACACACTCTTATTAACTATTTCAAATCTTTCTATGTATTTAAAGAAATTTGAAATTATCGAAACTTGTTTTTATGACGCTAAACTCTAATCGTTGCATTAATTCGTTAGAAAAGGGTACGATTACCATTTTATTTACTACTTTGTTCAAAATATAATAATGTACAAAAAGTTTTTGCACCATGTCGTCATTATGAGTGAATTGAATTCATATTGAGTGAGACTAAAATAAAAAATAAAGTCATAAATTATCGTGTTTGCTCTGGATTTTAATTTTAACTCCGCAGTCACGAGACATACTGCGGAATTTTACTTACCTTTAACGGTGTTTTCACGTTAAAGGTTGAAGGAGTCTGCAGTATGTAAACTCAACCATCATAATGTAAAGTTTAACAAGAGCAGTCTGACTCCTAATAAATTTGCAAAGCTATTGAAATAAAGATACATGTTGTTCAAACAGTGAAGATGGTTGGATGTCAGCTTAGAATCACACAATTCATAAATTTAAAGCCTTATGAATACTGCTAAGTGACTTGTATACTGAAATCATTGTGTAGATCGGACAAAGAAAATATCATAAAAGCATTTGACTAACAAATTAGGACGTGACCTCGTAAAATATTCCAAACTTTGGGAATTAAAACCGTAGTAAAACGGTACAAAACCCTTTACATAGCATTGTTAAAGTTCGGTACTTATTTTATAATTATGCGTGTGTTTAATACAAAGTTCAGACGGGCCGAAGTTAAGAAAATGGACAAAATTAAGGAGCATGCTTCTAGGCTCTATAGAAAAATTTTATGTAACTATGTTTCAATTTGTTACAAATTTATGAAAAACTGGTACACTGAAACTCAGTCTGCTTAATTCATTTGTTCACTTTACTATTTTGGAGTAAATTAAAAAAAATAAAAAGGGGCTCCTATCCATCGTGAACTACGACTCTGGAGTTGATTTATTGCAAAATTTTCTAGTTAGTCCGAAAATGGATGAACAGTCGCTTATATGTTAGTTATTATATTATTATTATATTACTAAGTAACAAAAAAGGCGGTTTAATAAAATAAAGGTAGAAAGCAGTAACCATCGTATCACGGATATCTTTCAGAGGGACCGAAAATAAAAGCCCCGTAAATATCAAGGTACAATAAAAAATTACATCTCTCATACAACGTATCCACGCGGCCTTTTCGCTCCCGTTCTTAGTTTCCGAGCCAGCGGAGCGAGTCGGTTTTTCTCTAATATTTCTCAGGCGTCTCACGGTAAATACGGTGCTTCTCTTTATTTTTATGCGTACATCACTGGAGTGCGGTGTAGCGAAATTAGAATGAACACGGCGGGGGTAACAGGGATAAATCTCTTTTCTGTTCGCTCTGTGTGTTTCCAGCCAGACCGGATCCCACAACAGATGCCTTTATAGTTTCTTGTTTGCCATTTTTATTTGATTCATTGTCGGGTGAACGGAATGAGGCAAAACGACGCAGCTGTGCTAGTAATCATTTCAACTACGACTGTATTACACATACTATTTAACATAATCTTATATATATATATATACAATGTCATCCTACAGTAAGAACACAATTTTAAACAATAATAATAAAAAAAAACAGTGAGCCTATTGTAGTCTCCGTTCATTACACAATTAGGGGATGGCTTTGAATAATTTATCGAATTTCAGTACTCCGAACTCGTTTATTATTTATGCTATGGAAACTGTACAGATAATGTTACTTAATAATTCAGTAACCCATTACAATAAGCAACAACCCCAAACAGAGGATTCATGCAGCAATAAAAATACTGTGTACATAAAATAATTAGTTCTAATGCTAATTCGATGGGTCGTGGGTTCGATTCCCACACGGGACAACTATTTGTGCGAAGATAGTTGTTTCGCATCTGGGTGTTTGTCCAAGTGAAATTTATGTTTGTAAAACGTCCTTACAATCACAGGATAGTGTTATCCTAAAGTAAGGACATTGTTTAAAAAAAATGCTTTCCGCATCAAAATAAGTACATAATTTCGTAAATTTTACAGGTAATCGATTTATCGCCACCACGAAGCAAGTTTATTGGGTTTTACTCTGTAGAATCCCAGACACAAAGTTTTCGTGAAAAGAGTCAGACAAGAGTGAGATTTCCGTGGCCCATCAGTGTCCCGTTTGATGCAAAGTGTGCAATGGCATTAAAACATGTAGAAAAAGTACGAAAAGATTGTCGCCGCTGTGGGAATCGAACCCACGTCTTCGGCATTCGCGGCCTGACGCTCTAGCCACTGAGCTAAACGGCTGATAGCCACAGCGACGAAAATCTTAGCTTAAGCTAGAGCGACAATCTTTTCATACTTTTTCTACATGTTTTAATGTTCAATCTTAAGTGCAGAGATTAGCACTATAAAAAACTATAAATTTGTGCAATGGCGGTTGACAAAGTGATCACTTCACCTGTACCGTCAAAATTACTAAGTCATTATTTCTTGTTACACCCTTTTCATATATAATATAAAAATGGTAGTGCATTAGTGTGTATGTGCTCAGTTCACTTACTACAATGGCAATATCGCCACATCTCGTCATTCGCATTCAATCGCCATTTAGTTAGGAGGATAGAACCATCACTGCTCAATTTCTGATGAAAATAGAAACTTTCATTACTACTTGCACATCTGATTTTTAACCTCTTAAACTCCCGACTTTCATAACGAACTGGTGAAAATTAAAAATATGATGAGGTTACAGAGCTAAGTGGCGCAGATACAGCGTGTCGTTAACATCGCGACAATAAATGAACACACGTCTAACGCTACTTGCCAATAATCATAAAAAATATTAACGTTAAACAAAATCCATACTTAAAAAACAAGTTTTTCTCAAACAAAGTAATTAAGTAAAAAGAAACAAAATTACAACATTCTATACAACTCGCGCCACAGCATCGCATTACAAGCCTCTCCTTCTTACAGTATGTTTTGTCTCTTTTAAATCCATTCAACCCATTCATATGCTTTGTGACCTTTAGAAATGAACTTTACGTTATAGTTTTATACGTAAGGGTGTACACAAAAAAATCATTAAAATCGGTCCAGCCGTGTAGGAAGAGTTTAGTGACATACGTACAGAAGAACTATATATATAAAGATTGGCGTTCTCACATTATAACCCTGGTTGTATCAAATCATATTAATCTACAGTAATGCCTTTATGTAAAGAAGATAGAAAAAAACGGCCAATGGTTTGATAAAAAAAATTGTAACCAGGTTACATAGCACTTTCGCTAAATACGCAACTCTTGTGTCTTGTGATGGATGATGTAACGCTTTCAAACCACACACAGCCATTTATGTAATACTACCTGTTGCCCGCAACTACGTCTGCGTAGAAGAGGCTGAAGGCGTGACATTCAGACAGAAACAGAGATATACATTCAATTATAGCCTACGTGTTATTCTCATGTATAAGCTATATTATTGGAAAGTTTCATTGAAATCCATCCAGTAGTATTTGCGCGAAAGAGTAAGAGACATCCATCCATACATACAAACTTTCGCGTTTATAATATTAGTAAGGATGAAGCTTCGTCGGTTGTAGGGCACGTAGAAAGGCGTGTTTTCACGAGTTGACATAACTCACGCTGATCGAGCTGAGCATGTGGCTAGCGAGTATTAGTTGAGAAGAGATAGTCGATGGTTCGTTTTGTCAGAATTCGGTATGCGGTCTGTGACCGACGGCTGTCATATTTTAGGTACCTATATTTCTATTATTGAATCAGATTACACCAACCAGATGACATCAAAAGTGAATATCCCACAGTAAAAATATTAATAAATAAATGCTTATTCTGGTCAATATAAATATTTTGTACTTGATCTATTATTGAATCTATGTGTGGTGAGAAGGCGGAAGGAACCATCTCAACATATACCGCAGAACTTCAGCGCTGATTTTCAGTTGGCCGCAGGCGATCTTATGTGGCGGACGCGCCACATCTAGCGGATAGTTATTTATATTTACAACAAACTTCTGACATACGTAAATCTCAAACAAAACTTACAGTAAGCACTATGGTTTGATTATTATTTTGATGACATTACAATTTATGGTATTAAACGAGTTTAACAAAAAAATATTGCAATTATAGAA